GGGCACTCAGACTGCGAGTTCCCTACCCGCCAGCCCTCCCAGGTGCTACTTGCCTGGGGACTCCAGGAGAGTGGGGCAAATCCTGAGGTGGAGTGAAATCAATCCAGCTTGGGCGCCCTGTTAGGTGACTCCGGACCAGCGCCTCTCCCCCTGGCAGGGTCAGGGATTGATCTCCAGAGTCCGGGGGTCAGGCCTGCAGACCAGACCCCGTGCATCCCGGGTGGCGATCGTGCTGCCCTGGGGCACGGAGGAGAGATCTGTGAAGGAGCCTACTGAGGAGTGTGCACCTTCAGGGGCGGATCGGCGTGCCTGACCGGCAACTCTCCTCCTAAGGAGGGCTGTGCACCGAGCTCGGGCTACAATCCTGGGTGCGGAAACTCCCAACCCGCGTCACAGCCAGAGGGGATCCATCGGCCTGGGGCCCCGCTTGCTGGCGGAGGCCTGGCAGAGGACACGGAGAGGGGGAGATTGGAGGGGAGCGAGACCTGCTCCAGAGTGCGGATCTTGGACAGCCCCACCCCCCAAGCCCAGATTTTCAGCTGAGTGGAGCCATTTCAGCCCCTCCTAGCAGCTCTGCACAGAAACAAAGAGCAGAACTTTGACAGCTTCTAACAGCAGCTGTAGAGCCTGAGGACAGGCTTATCCAACCCAGCCCCACCCAGACTCACTCTTGGTTCTTCCCCCACTGAGGGGGAGAATAAGGACAGCTCAGGCTACGATCCTGAGTAGGGAACGTCCCGCCCACAGCCCGCATCACAGCCAGGGGAGATCCATAGGCCTGAGGCCCTGCTTGCTGGCAGAGTCCTGGGAGAGGCCATGGAGTGGGGGAGAGTGAAGGGGAGCAAGACCTGCTCCAGAGTGCGGGCCTTGGGCAGCCACAGCCCCTAAGCCCAGACTTTCAGCTCAGTGGAGCCATTTCAGCCCCTCCCGGAAGCTCTGCACAGAAACAAAGAGCAGAAGTTGATCCCTGCTAACAGCAGTAGTGGAGCCCGAGGGCAGGCTTGCCCAACCCAGCCCGACCCAGACTCACTCCTCCCACTGAGGGGGAGAATAAGGACAC